GACAATTCCAATTATATCCATTGTTTAAACTTAACTAAAATGTTAAAAATGAAATAGCAATCATAAAAATAGGAGATATTCAAAAAGAATCCAAAAGAGATGTTAGGGAGGGATATACATTATCACCTTTAATATTTAATGCCTATATTCCAGAGAATATAGATATTACAAGAGAGAGGATACAGCTAGAAATTAAGATAAATATTCACAGAATAGACACGCTGAGATTCGTGGACGACATTGCAATAATAGCTGAAAATGAAAAAGATTTTAGGAACATTAAGACAGATGATGGAAAAAGATTTACATATGAAAATAAACGCAAAGTAGACGAAAGTTCTAGTAAATTACCTATTGTATCTACTAAATTATAAAAAAAGAAACAGATTAAAGATAAGATTTATCAAAAAAATTACTCCATCGAATTTTGTAATCAACTAGATTCTAATCAATGCAGATACTTGGTAGTTTGTTATCATTTGTTGGAACAGAGTTAAAAAAAAATTACCTACAACAATGTTTGGAGTAACTGCTATTCCATTTATTATTACGTCTATTATTAATCTTTTTCAAATAACGTTTTCTATGAATATAAAAATGAAAATACAGCCATAATAATAACTGTATTACCCAATAGTAATCACAAATTAATAATAATTTCAATGTATATAAGGTCTAACACGTTTTTGATGATTCGTAAAAATAATGTAATTTTACATTTGGGGGGCGGTTTGGGTCACATTAAATCTAAGGGGGGCCAGGCACACCCATGTCTACGGCCTGTCTTCTTCACTTTCAAATTTTTATTGTTTTTTATTAGCATAAAAAGTGATGTATAATTTTTCTCAATCGCAAATTGTTTTGCTTTTTCACCAACAGCTGGTTTACAAAGTTCTGAATTATATCATAGGTCTGGAAATTATTAGAATGAGAATAACTAAAGGAAAATTTGTAATTTGTTACAAAATTATTGCAATAGAAGTTATTTGTAACAATACATTTTATCTTCTTTTCAATTTTGTTCGAATTACCAATTCATATTTTATTAAGTAAATTTCATATATTTTGGATATAAGTCCAAAATGTCTTCTTTGTATTTTAAACAACTATACAGAGTAATCAAAATCTAGTAAGACACTAATTTTTTTTGAGAAACAATTTAAATTAAACATTTTTTTTAAAGAAAATATATTAGGTTTAAAAAACTATAATAATATGTAGTAAAATAATTTTTTTTATCTCTTCAGGGATAAAAATTTTTATATTTCATTTTTTTAAATGAGAACTTCTATTTCAACTTCATAATATGATAGTAAAAAACAAAATTTTGTTCTTATAATTTTTTTTATCTGATCAACTATTTGTGTTTTAAGATAGCTTTTAAGGTTTGGATTTCAAGTAAAAATTTATTATTAATTTGGTTTTACATAGGGCTACCAGACGTTCGTATTTATACGGACAAGTCCGTATTTTTGAGGGTCGTCAGTATTTTTCATGAAATTATCAAAAATGCTCAAAAAGTTAAGTGCATGAAAAAATTACGTGAAGTGGCTAGTAATTGGATAATTCTGTCACATTCTCTCTTATTTTGCTCTGAGAGGCAAGAAAGAGAGAGAAAATATATGTAAAAATGGGCAGAATCAGGCAGTCTATAAGTTTGAGTAGTGACCAACCATGCCATCATACGGCACTGGAATAACTAGCTTTTAATATAACTACTGTGTAAGCATGCAGTAAGTACTGTATGGTATTGTTCAGTTCAACTTCAAAAAATTGTCATGCTTGGATTTTATAAAATATCTAGAGCGACCGGAAAATAATAACTTGATGAAAAAAGTTGGGTCGTCGGAAAAATATCGTTGAAATTAAGAATATGTTTTATTGATAAGGTAGATAAGAGAGATATTGTATTGTGAATACTTTTTTTTTTTTTTTAACGACCGGCATTATTGTGGGCCGCCCTGGAACTGCCGTGAGGCATTACTTCAGGGCGGCCCACACCGTCTTAATAATTCACTCCACCACGTTGTGAATCAGCCCGAAATTAATCAAGAGCTGATTCGCAACGTGGTGTGGCCCCTTCCCGTTAACCGGATCCCTGAGTGGGGACCGTTAGGGAGGACTGCCAAAATAACTCACAACAATCCACAAAAATGAGAACCTAAGGCACTGGCCTAAATCAGCGCCTCAGGTCCTCCTGTGCCGGGCGGCGAGGCTGCCTCTATCTCAGGCGTTCCGCTTCCTCCTTCTTTTTCAAGATGGATTCGGCGAACGCCTGGACGAGCCTCCACGCCTCCCGGCTCCTCAACATCAGGTCCACCATGGACCCGACTCAAAACGTGGACCCTAGTCGAGACTCTAAAGAGTCCCGTTCCTGGGCCCACGCCTCGCACCGGAAGATGGTGTGCAAAGCGCTATCAGCCTCTCCCGGGGGATCCGAACAGTGGTCGCACGTCGGCGCGGCTGCTTTACGAATACGGTGTAGGTACTCGTTAAAGCAGCCGTGGCCGGACATCACTTGGGTGAGACGATAAGTCATCTCACCGTGAGTCCGGTCCACCCACCTGTCCAGCCGATCGGGTCCTATGAGGGACCTGGTCCACTCGCCTCTCGTTTCCTCCGAGAGGCGAGTCCGCCACCGGAGCATGGTCATCCGCCTGAGCGCTAGTCTGTCCTCGGGTTCGAGGGACCGGTTGCGCTCTCGGCGGAGCTCATGCCCGGCGGCGCGTTCCTCGGCGAGCAGATCAGCGGGCGGCAGTGACGACAGGATACCCGTCGCCACTCCGGACACCGTTCGGTAAGCCGAAACTGTCCGGATCGCCGCCCGCCTTTGCACCCTGAGCAGGGCTTCACGGTTTTTGGATGAATACTCAAGAGTATCCGCCCAAACCGGGGACCCGTACAGGAGAACCGAGTGTACGACGCTGACTAAAAGTCTACGCCGCATCTCTCTCGGCCCTCCCAGATTGGGCATGAGTCCCGCCAAGCAATTCATGACTTTCTGGGCCCGCTGGGCCGCAGGAGTAATGTGCGGCCCGAACTTTAGACGTTTGTCTATGACAAGGCCCAGATAAGTCATGGAGTCCTTAAGCGGGATCTCCACCCCCAGCACGGCGAGCCGTGGAGGAGTGAACTTGTACCTGCCCGTGAACAAGACCGCTTCGGTCTTGTCCAGGGCGAGGCTCAGTCCACTCCCCTCCTGCTGGATCCAGGCAGTGACTGCGCTGAGCGCGCAGTTCGCCCGGGATCCAGCCTCCTCGGACGAGGCGCCTTCCGCCACCACCAGCGTGTCGTCCGCGTAGCAGACGACGCGTACGTGCGGTGGTAGCGGAACGCGGAACACCGCGTCGTATGCGATGTTCCACAGCAGAGGCCCGAGAACTGACCCTTGCGGGACGCCACCCGTAACAGGTTTGATTCTCGGGCCCGCGACGCTCACGTAGGAGATGACCCGATCGCTAAAGTACGACCGGATGATCCACCCGAGGTAAGGAGGCACCCGAAACGCGTCCAGCGCTCCAAGGATGTGTGACCATCGCACGGAGTTGAACGCGTTTCGGATGTCCAAGCTCACCGCCACCCCGAAACCCTGCTCAGTTTTGGCCTTGAGAGCCAAGTCCCTGAAGAGGGAGGCCGCGTCATCCGTCGACCTCCACCTCCGGAAGCCGAACTGGCCCTCGGCCAGTCCGCCGACGTCGGCCAGGTGGGCTTCGATCCGGGTGACGAGCAGCCGCTCGAGGATCTTCCCCAAGTCGTCCAACATGCAAAGCGGTCGGTACGACGAGGTGAGACCCTCGGGCTTGTCACCCTTTCTCAGAAGCACCAGCCTGGCCTTCTTCCATTTCGTGGGGAATTCACCCTCCGAGAGGCAGCGGTTCGCGACGGCGCGTATCCAGTCCGGGGCGAGGTCGTTTACCAACCCCCACACCCGGTTTGGAATCGCGTCAGGGCCGGGAGCTGTGTTCCGGCCCCGCACACACGCCACCGCGTCAGCTACCTCTTGGCTGGTGAATTCCACCACCGACACGTCATCCCCAAACGCCGGGGGAGGCAGGGGCAGATGTGTCGGAAACAGCGTGTCTACCGCCATTTCCAGCACTTCCGCCTCCAGCTGACCCGAAGCCGGTGGACCGCGGGGCTTCCGCATAACGACCCGATAGGGTTTCCCCCACGGGTCGTGGTCCACCGACTTAACGAGTTCGGTCCAGCATTTCGCTTTGGCCTGCCTGATGCCGAGCTTCAGCTCCTTACGGGCCGACCTCAGCGCCTCCCTCTGGTCCGGGGATTCCGGGTCCCGCGGCCAACGGTTGGAGCGCGTCATAGTCCTCCTGACTGTAAAAATCTGTTTTTTACCATAATAGTTTTATAAACCCAATAATTTATTACTTAACAAAAATTTTTAATTTTCAATAGTTTTTAAAAATGTTATCTTTTTTTCATATACAGATTAATTTCGATCACTATTATACACATGTATACTATGATTTACAAGTTTTGACTTTGGTGACTATTTCATGTCTGGTTAATGTCTTGAAAAGGAAGCATTTCTCTCAAATATTACAGTTTATTTGGAAGGCTATATGTGGGGAAAATGTTGACATTCTACAAATTTAAAAGCTACTCGTTTATACTTTTTGGTATAATTATTTTTGAGGATAAAAAAAAATTCCTAGAAATTTATATTGAATTTTTTAAACATTAATCTTTTAATCAAATGTTATTTGAGAAAATAATCATTTTTTTCATGTATAAAATGATTACAATAACTCTAGTATACACATATATACGCCCGACCCCAAGTAGTAGGGAAAAGAATAAAAAGTATCAAATGTTATTAAATCTTCCTAATATTTTGGCCTATATAATAATAATGATAATAACTGTTTTATATAATAAGGAGATATCAATTGAAGTTCAAAATTTTTAAAGTAAGGGTTAATTGCTAAAAATTTAAACTTTAAAAAAAAAATTCCTTTTAGTGAATCTGGCAACACTGATCTCCTTAATCTCACTTCATGTTCATTCTCGTCGGTACGTTTGTAGTCATCATATGTTACCTAGTTAAATTAGGAGTAAACGGACATATAAATTTTGTTGACTCTGTTGATTGCAGCAAATATTTTCTAAAATTGTAAGCTCTGTGGTAAGAATTATTTCTTTAAGAAAAAAGTTACTTTTCAATGACATAATTTTTTAGTTATAATTACGTTAATATATTTGAAACTTAACATGTTCTCATAAATTTTTTCTTATGTAAATTATCAATATTTTTGTTATATCTATCAAAGAAATCAAAATATATTATATATAAATCATTTAAAAAGATTAAATTATTGTTCTAGCTTTTCCAAATTTGTAACAATTTATTTAAAAATGTCTGGAATATCTGCTTTGTTCATTGTGGCTGAAGGAAGTGAAGAACTAGAATTGGTAGCACCTGTTGACATATTACGCCGTGCTAATGTAATAAAAAATTTTAATTATTATTATATCTATTACTCATTTTATCATTAATTACGCTACTAATGTTTTAGTTATACTACATAATTAAATGTTTTTTATTTTTGTAATCTATTTATTTTTAATTGAATAGATAAAGATATAAAAAAGGCTAAGTTATCAATGTTAATATCTCAATAATTATGTTTTATAAGTGTTAATCTACCATTGACCTTTGGATTAAGTGTCCGTAATAAGATTGGATTAACACATTTGGTAGTTCAAGGAACAAAATTAATATGTGGCCATTTTATATGTGTAAAAGATAAAACATATTAATGACAAATTTTAAAGCCCTTTAAAGACTTCAAATTCATTTAGTTTGAAATAATTTAAGCTAATTCTTTATGCCTCCCTAATTTGAGCTTATCCATGAAATTGTGTTGACATTATCATAATTGGATTTTTATTGAGTTCATTTTTAAACCTATCAGAAAAAAATTATATTAATGTATTTTAATTGGAACAAAGAAGTGGGTTATTTTGTGTGTATAAGATAAAACGTGATGTTTAGTAATTTCTAAGATTAGAATAAGATAAAAAAAAATTTGAAATAATTTAAAATCAATTAAAATTTTGTTTAATTTTTTTTTTTTCATGAACTTTTTTATAATTTACTTGGTTAACTAAGAAAGTTATTATTTAATTTAAAAAGAAATTATTGCTTTATTATTAGTAATATACTTATTACCAATTATGTAAACTTATTAACTTGTTATTTTTATAAGTGTAAAAGACATTTTTTTTTAACTGTGCGTCAAAATATACATAATTTGTTTGTATTATAAGTTAAGAAATTGTTTATAAAATTAATCTTACATAAATCAATGTATAATTACAATAGATTCATGTTACAATTGCTGATTTAGCTGATTCTGAGTATGTTAAAACGAAATCAAATATTTTTATTAAAACAGATGCCAAACTTAGTGATGTAAAAAGTAAAAAATTTGATGCAGTTGTTATTCCTGGAGGACCATCATATAAAACTTTAGCTACAGTAAGTTTTTAAATTTGTAATTCAAACTTGAATATGTTAATGTAATAAAATCATTATTTAAAAAATGGTTTTAATTTTGAAACTATTATTTAACAAAACAATACAATTAAAATAAATTTAAAAATATTTAAAAGTTAAAAATTCTTGAATCAGTAACTTTTTACAACTATTTTAATTTATTGCTGTCATTATTTGTATTAAATACGAGTCCAAAAAATTTAGTTCTCCACACAGAAAACATTGTATACATATTATTCAAAGATAATTAATTTTTAAAAATTAATGACTCATGATATTTCTGAAAGAAACAGTAAAATAAGTATCATTTATCTCAATTAGCAGCATTATATATTTGTAAAATATTATTTTATAGTAAATATCTGATACTATGATAAATATGGATTGTGTTTGTTTTTCACCATAATGCTTTTTTTAGGCTGATGTAGTTGGAGAAATTTTAAAAGTTCAAGAAAATTCTGGTGGTGTTATAGCAGCTATTTGTGCTGGTAATTATGTAATATTTTTTTTAATGCAATATTTAAGAAAACATAGCTAAGTGATAGAAAAGCTCCTCTCCTGGCTTATTATTCAAACTTATCAAAAAAAAAAATATTGGTCTATAGCCATAATAAAAAAACTTTTCAAACTATGAACATAATCATTAGTATATTTGGAGGAAATATATTTACCCTTTTCTTTATTAACCATCCTCCGTTACTTTTTTTTGTTCTTAATCAACCAATAAAAATATTTTATTTGTGGTCTCTCCCTATTATAAATTTCTTATTATAACCCTAGCCATTATTTTATACTTTTATACTTAAACAATAAAAATATTATTAAAATAATTGAGAAATAATTAAAATATCAATTAATTATCACTTTTTTTACTCTTAATTAAATAAAGAAAGTTATAGATTTAATAAAAAAAGTTTTTTATTTTTTATATAATGTTTGTTTTTAATATTTATTATAATATTTTATGTTGTGCAAATTATAATACTTCATTATAAAATTTGATTGAATTATTAATAGACTTAAGAAATAAAAATTGGCTTCAATTTTTTTAAATTTTCATAATATTTTAAATCATTTTTTTTTTTTTTTTTAGTTTTATGAAAATTTGACTTAAAAAAACGTTATAATTTTATTTTTACCTTACAAAAGCAAACTCTTTCCGTAGACGTCTGCAAACAAAACTTATTTATTCTTAAAACTGATGATCTCAACGAGCAATTAAACATCTACAACAATTAATAATGTCGATTCAATTTTAGATAGTGTATTTTAAACAAAAACTATTTAAAATTATAATTACTAATTTAGTTAACCATTATATGCGAAAGAAAAGTAAATTATATGTATATTCAGTTTTTATAATAAACCTTTAATAAGAGATTAACAAAAAAAAATGTATATATATATATAGTTCAAATGTTTTAATTATATATTAAAAAATATCCTTTAAGTTCAAAAAAAAAACCCAGCACAGGGGGGTCGCGGCACAGTTGTGACGTGGTATAGTTGGATCAAGTATAATGATATCTGACAGTGATTAAAATCACTATCAAAAATAAACGCTTCGATGCAAATCTTTAGATAGTGTTTAATTTTAAAAAAATTGGTGTTTTATTCCAAAAGCTACTTGATCTGCTGGTTCCTTATTAATATCTCGATAAAGATAAAGTATGTCAAATGAAAAAGGGTTTATTAAAAAATATTATTTCTCATAAAAAAATTGTGTGGATCCATAAACTTTTCAATAAGTTCTAGCATTATAAAGTTAAATATTATATAAATAATAAAATCGAGAATTTTCACACGAAAATAGCATTCGGTAGCCATTTTCACCGTGAAGACAAGTCCAGAGGTCAAATTTTTTTTTTTCAAATTAAAGTATATTACATTAGCTTTAATTTAAGATATATATAAAAGTGTCAGACCTTCCGGAACATTTTCAAAAGTTAAGTTGAAAAAGTTAATTTTTTGTGAAAAAGTTGTCATTTTAAATCCCCCCCTGTGGGCAGGTTAAGTGTCAGATTTACAAAAAAAATATACCAAATGATAAGTAAAGACATCAAGCATCTATATAAAAAAAAATTATATTGATATGTTCATTTTTGAAAAAGTTAGAGCATTATTAAGTTAAAAATATAAAAAAAAATTATTTTACAAAAATCGTAATTTTTTATTAACTTTGATGTCAACTTTCACCACGAAGACAAGTCCAGAGATCAATTTTTTTTTTTTCAAATTAAACTATATTACATAAGCTTCAATTTAAGATATATATAAAAGTAACAGACCTTTCGGAACACTTTCAAAAATTAAGTTGAAAAAGTTCTACTTTCTATATGCATTTTTTATATTTGAAGCCCCCCCATATATAGGGAAATAGTCTGATTTAAAAAAAAAGTATATCCAATGAAAGATGTATATAAATACTACTTCTCATGAAAAAATTGTATTGATCCATACATTTTTTAAAAAGTTATAGCACTTTAAAGTAAAAAATGTAAATTATAAAATCGAAAATTTTCACACAAAAATAGCATTCGGTAGCCGTTTTCACCATGAAGACAAGTCCAGAGGTCAAATTTTTTTTTTTCAAATTAAAGTATATTACATTAGCTTTAATTTAAGATATATATAAAAGTGTCAGACCTTCCGGAACATTTTCAAAAGTTATGTTGAAAAAGTAAATTTTTTGTGAAAAAGTTGTCATTTTAAATCCCCCCCTGTGGGCAGGTTAAGTGTCAGATTTACAAAAAAAATATACCAAATGATAAGTAAAGACATCAAGCATCTATATAAAAAAAAATTATATTGATATGTTCATTTTTGAAAAAGTTAGAGCATTATTAAGTTAAAAATATAAAAAAAAATTATTTTACAAAAATCGTAATTTTTTATTAACTTTGATGTCAACTTTCACCACGAAGACAAGTCCAGAGGTCAAATTTTTTTTTTTCAAATTAAAGTATATTACATAAGCTTTAATTTAAGATATATATAAAAGTGTCAGACCTTCCGGAACACTTTCAAAAGTTAAGTTGAAAAAGTTCTACTTTCTATATGCATTTTTTTATATTTGAATTCCCCCATATATATGGAAATAGTCTGATTTAAAAAACAAGTATATCCAATGAAAGATGTATATAAATACTACTTCTCATGAAAAAATTGTATTGATCCATACATTTTTTAAAAAGTTATAGCACTTTAAAGTAAAAAATGTAAATTATAAAATCGAAAATTTTCACACAAAAATAGCATTCGGTAGCCGTTTTCACCATGAAGACAAGTCCAGAGGTCAAATTTTTTTTTTTCAAATTAAAGTACATTACATTAGCTTTAATTTAAGATATATATAAAAGTGTCAGACCTTCCGGAACATTTTCAAAAGTTAAGTTGAAAAAGTTAATTTTTTGTGAAAAAGTTGTCATTTTAAATCCCCTCTTGTGGGCAGGTTAAGTGTCAGATTTACAAAAAAAATATACCAAATGATAAGTAAAGACATCAACCATCTATATAAAAAAAAAATTATATTAAAATGTTTATTTTTGAAAAAGTTACGGCAGTTTTTAGTAAAAAAAATTTCGAAAATTAGCGATTTTTAAATTTGTAATTTTTTTAATTTTTTTGGAGGTTTCCCCCATTTACGGGGAACGAGGGAAATTTTTTCAATTTTGAAGGGTTATGTCTTCGACTAGATATGATTTGTGATCTTTTGACGTATCGTTGAAAGAAATCCGTTCGGTAAGAGCTGAGAAAAAATGGTAACAGACAAAAAAAAAAAAAAAAAAAAACACATCATAGTAAAACCAATACCTTCTCAGCTTCGCATCGAAGCTAAAAAAAATTATGTAGTAGTTTTAGCTGCCTAATTTTCTTTTTTATATCTCTTTGGGGATAATTTTCAATAAAATTGAAATCCAATCAATTTAAAATCTTTTTAGCTCTTATTTTTTAAATTTATAATACAGAATTTTCTAAAATAATGGAGTAGTGTTTCAATTATCTATTTAAACAATTGATCCATATCCTATTTTTATTAAACACCTAATATATTAATTGAGAATACTAGCCACTCTCCTTTTATTAGAAAAGAGATAAAAAAAATTGTTTGATATTGAATATACATTTTTGATTTTTACTGTAAATACAGTTGAAATAGTCTACAAATAGTCATTAAGTATAGGAATTGTATATAATTGTATTTTATTCATTAAAGCAGGTAAAATTTGTCTACATGTTTCTTTGTTACAGAATGTTTAAATTGAATTTTAATCCTCTGGATATAATATTCCTTTGTTCAACCTTAATAATAATAATTATATTTTGATGATATTATGCTACTAATCTCTTTAAAATATAAGACAAAAACCTTATTTTTAATATTTTTTAAATTATTGTATAAATGGTAGTATTTTTTAAGAAAATTCTTGATATAGATATTTTTATTTTTTTAGCACCTTATGTATTATTCAAACATGAAATAGCTAAAGGCAAAAAATTAACCTGTTATCCTAGCGTTAAAAGTGAAATTGAACATGCATACACCTACCAAAATAATACTACCGTTATTGATGGTATATATTTTTATATTAAATATTTACAATTTTAAATTAAGTTTCTTTAGTAAGTATTAATAATATACTTAAGATAAAATATGTTATGTATGATTCACAAATTAAATAATCTATATACATTAAAAAAACGTAGATTAGCCTAAAATTTGGTTAATTTACCAGTTAACTAAATTTTTAAACTCATTTTATAATAATGCATGGCCAATAAATAAAAACCTTTTTGATTGTTTTTTAAATTATAATATAAGAAAATATTTCCAATTTCCTATTATGATTGAAATTTATTCTCTACTAATTTTTGTCTTCCATTGGCAACCAATTTTTGAAAATGTTGACAAATGTTCAAAATAGTTATTTTCTTGTATGAGCAACAAAATAAAAGAATTTTCTTTAATTTTTGTAAAAAAAATACCAACGTTACATATTTTAATTTAACAGTCTTATGCAAACCTAACCTAGTTAGAAATTTACTAAAATATTTTTCTTTAATAGCATTGGTATAGGTTTTATCATTTTTATAGAGAAAGTAGACCAAAAAAAGTTATGTTAGTTTAATTTCTACATGAAAAAATTTAAATCTAATATCTATTATTCACTAAAATACAAAAAACACATATTTATTAAAAAAATAATAATTTTCAGAAAAATTGAACTAATTTGATTGTTGCTCTATACTTTACTAAATGTTACTTTTCTAATTAACTCTAATTTTACTGTCAATAACTAACCATGTGTAATTATTAAATAGTGTATTGTGTGCAATTAAATTAACTCTATTGACAAAAAAAAGTTTATTGAAATGTTTTCATTCCATATAAATAACTTTTTTATGCATTTTAGGAAAACTGATCACTAGCCAAGGACCTGCTACAGCTATTGAATTTGGATTAAACATAGTTGAAGTTCTTACTAATCAAGAAGAAAAAAATAAAGTAGCTAAAGCAATTCTTTACTCTGATTAAATTAAAGATAAATTTCAAAATATTTAGTATTAATTAATGCATAATGAAACTTGAATAACATGAATTATATTTTATTAAAATATATGTGAAACTATATTGTAAGTGTTGTATTTTTGAAATTTTTTCTTTAAGACACTATTAGCTTCCTAATAGGTATTTTATGTAAAAATATTCAAAGCTATTAATAAATAACACAATTCAGTTGACTGAAAATATGATAAAATGGTATTAAACATAAATAAAAATTTACCATAAATATTAAAAGTTCATATGTGACATATTAATATAAAAATTTATACAGAAAATGACTAATAATATTTTAAGATATGTGCCATATTAAAGTTGACAAATAAATTCTTTATGATGCAATTAATATTTCCCATAATTTTATACATTTTTTTTTTTACTTTTAGTAACTGGTAGTTTTTTGTTTTTTTCAAACCACATTTTTGTAATTGTTATTTATAATACATTATTATATATATAATATATTACTATTCAATATAATTATTATATATGTTATAATTATTCAATTCATTATTTTAGTAGAAAGATTAAAAATTAATTAATTAAATTATTATGACATTTGGTAAATTATTTTAATAAATAATATTGGTTTTATTCTAGTAGTTAGAATTTAGTGTTTTTATAAATATAAGTTAATGATATCTTAAGGCTTCTTATGGTACTGTTATTAATTGGTACAAATCTGTGCATTTCTTTAGTGCTGAGAATAGTTTTATACAATTTAAATCTCTTATTAGGTTTTTTCGCTGTTGTACTACTTATGTAGGTACATAAATGAATTTTATGTATATGTTTTAAATTTTTTCAATAAAAAAAAATAAACAGATAAAATATATAAAAAAAAATTTTTGAAATTAGGTCTTCCAACAAATAATGCACCTAGAATACCTGTATTTTTATACAAATTTCTAACTTTGTAGACATTTAAATTAAACATTTAGTGGCCTTAATTATTTATTTCGCAACTAAAGTAATGAATTGAATAATTATAACATATAATAATATAAAAAACAGTAACAAAAATGTGGTTTGAACACAACAAAAAAAAATCATTAAATTATTTTATTTTGAGCTGCCTTATACTCTTTTTCTAATGTTAAATATTAAATGTTACACTTTTTTCTCAAACTTAAAATTTATAAGGTGTATTAAAGAGATATATAATTGAGAAATTTTATTTAAAATTAGGTCCCTATATAGAAGTAATGCACATAGAAATATGTGTAATTTTATAAAATTTCTAATTTTGTAGGCTTCTAAATGTCAAGAAAATTATTTCAAATATTTGAAATTTAGTTGAAACATAGATTATACACTATACAATACCACATTTTAAAATTACTATAAAATAATAACTTCTTAATAGTTTTAATTGTGCTCAAAAATGATAATTTACACAAACATTTTTAGAAAGTCATTAAAGTTTCACATAAATTTTTAATTTTTTTTTATTTTATGTAAACTTTAAGTTATAATAAGTCAATTCTAAAATTTTAATTCGATTAAATTTATATTGAATAATCTGTGTGTTTTTTATTGTTCTGGCTATTTTTAAAATTTTTTACATTAAAATAGCCATAAAAATGGAAAGGTCATAAAATAAATTGTTTAAATCTATATATAGCATAAAAATTAGGTGGTCGTGCAACCATTTCTGGATGATTTGGCATGTATTGACCCATCTCATCCTCCTTTGTGTGAATTAATATATTTAATGAATTTTAGTAGATAAAAACACCGCGTGTGTAATATAAATAGTAAAAATTCTTTCTGCAGTTTAAAAATCAAAGAATTTCTATTGAATTAATGTAATTTCAAGTTCTTAATCGAAAAGTTAGTCATCATGTTATCTCAAACAAGATATGAATGAAATAAACAACACGTTTAAGACGTGTTATTTTGTAGATTTGTCGGTCATCGCCATATTTTAAATTGCATAGATCCCTCGCAGTAGGAAACTACTACACAAAATACAAATAGATTTGTTTTGTCCAGAATAAACATAAATGATTAATATTCTTTTGCGTATTCCCTTTTATTGAACCTTTCACATACAAAACACTGAATTGCACTTGACACATTTTTTTGAACATATTTTCCCACGCGTTATTTGTTAATGTTACACTAGTATACCCTTGCAAAAATGTCGAGAGTGTTCTATACTATTGTTGAGTTCAATCTAATCGAGGATTTTCAAAATCTTTTCTTTATTTTATCACTGACATTTTGGAATCAACGAGAAAGTTTTTTAGTCTAGTTTAAGAATTTCTTAGATTTAAGTAACTAATTAAACAATTTTAATACTTATTAGCTTCGATGCGAAGCTGAGAAGGTATTAATTTTAGAATGAAGTGTTTTTTTTTGTATCTGTTACCGCTTTTTCTCAGCAGAACCGATTTCTTACAACGATACGTCAAAAGATCACAAATCGTATATAGTCAAAGGACATTACCTTCACAAAAGAAATTTTATTTGTTCCCTGTAAATGGAAGAAATCTCCAAAAAAATTACAAATTTAAAAATCTGTAATTTTCGACATTTTTTCAAATTTTTTTTCTTAAAACTTCCATAACTTTTTAATTCAACAAATTAAAAATATATCAACAACTGTGGTAGGTTCTATTGATAAAACAAATGTTTATATCACCTTTAGTTTTTATTTCTATTACTTTATAGCCCTTAATATAGTAAGTCTTTAATTCCATATGCAGTCATAAATTAATTATATGGTTTTTTAAGCTAACATTAAAGAATTAATTAAACTTTTGAATAATTCAACACACATATAACAATAATTACGTCATGTGCGACTGTGTTCCAAGTACTTATGTTACCACGGTCGCATCATACAATTTTTATCATTTCATAATTTAAGTTCTTTTAAAATTATTATTTTTTAACAATTTTGACTATTCAAATAAATTTCTTATATTAACGTTTTCCACTCTTCAGTACTCAAAATTAAAGCGCCCCCCCCCCCGACATTTTGCGATTCGACTTAAAGAGAGCACTAGATTGTACTCAAAATAAGAAGGACTCCGTCTACCCTGACTTTAACCACTAATAATAATCAAATTTTTTCCTATATTTTTATATTTGCATTAATTGATAACACAGAATTATAGATACTCTATAGTCTGCAAATTACGCCCCTGATATGTTTTCAATTAATTTAACGAACTACTAAATATTTAATAAATCAAAATGTGTAGTATTTTTACAGCTATAAGTGGAATAGATTAAAAGGTTTTTAGGTAAACGAAACATTTATACTAAATAATAAGTTACAAAATTACTTTCATCACATGTAATGGTACCAGCGAACATGTATTTTAAAATGCCGCCAGCTCGGTTAATTTACTAATATTGGGCAGTTTACACTTTGGTTCTCATCAAAGCCTCTCCAGGGCATGCTAGTTATAAACTTTGTTATACACAAATAGAAGATAGATGCAATAATAACTACGCATTAAATGAGCAAAGTAATAATAGTAATAACGAAAATAAAAAATAACGAGCTGGAAATTAATTATTATGTTTCTCCATTCATTTCTTCGCAGCAAACAGCGGCGGCTTCGTGACACGAGCCTCGGGGCTTTAACGGAGAAGCCGATCGACGGCGTTTGCTGGCTCTGGTAAGGCGGTAGGGTTGGCGTGTGACCGACAATGAACTTATTCCTGCGCCAAGCTTTCCCACGGACGGCTACCACAGCGAAACGGTCCTCCGATTGACCGGAAGGTGGGTCTCGTTCAGCATCACCACAACCGCCATCTTCTTTATTAGTAGCCAATGCTCCTCCTAGAAAATGAAATTCGTTTACACCACTACCTCATGTGGTGACCTAAAACTATCTGAGACTAAATCAATAATTTTTACAATTTATTCGATAAAATTTAAAGAATACATTCGTATACACCTATACGAATGTATTCACCGTCTGTAGGCGATTAATTAGTTCGATTCCGTCGCGTTGGGCTACATAGGTTTTCCCGTCTTCTCTAGCACAAGCAATAGCTTTTATAGATAACGTTAAAGTACAATTAAGAAAATAATAAAAATGATAAGAAACATGCAACTAATAATTATAATCGTAAGTAAAAATAATAGCCTTTTGGATTTTAAAATACTAGTTCAGTATCTACACATTAGACACTGTTGCTACTTATATTAAAAAATTATTTATTCCTGTTATAACATAATTAATAATTACAATACTCATTTTACTACTAATGTTGTATGCATATAAAACAAAAACATAAAGTGTTCTTTTTATAGCTGAAAAATGGTCTGTTGCATTAAAAATATTTTTTAAAACACAACTTAGTAAAATTATAAGCATTAGTGTTATAACCAACTACTAAAACTTGTGCAGTCGCGTATTTTAAGTGTTGCTCATAAAAAACATGATAGCGAATGCAGTATTTGATTTATTGAACATGTAGACTTAAGATTAAAATAATTTTTTAACCAATTTTTAAAGTTTTTACTGTAACACTCAATTTGAAATACTTTGCACATTATTAAAAATCTCAATATAAGTTATATTACAGGCAATAAAAGCTGTAATATAATTAATCAATAGTATGCAATATATGTGTTATTGATTTTATAAAAGTATTTAGTACTCTCGGGAGAAATAAAAAAAAATGCCATTCATAGGGGTCATTTAATCAAATTTTTTAACTAAAAATCAAATAATTTTTTTAACAACACATTGTTAGCAGATTTGTAGGGGTTTAAGTAGTTTCTAGGTAGTCTACACCCTTCCTATTTAATAATGATTTTTAAAAGAAAATAATCAGAAAAACCTAATTTTAATTAATCTGGAATTGTATAAGATTCAATAGTATTTTTAAAATAGTTTTGCTTGTCAAAATTTTATATAATTATAAGTTTTTACAAGATTTTATTTAATTAATTGACAAGAATACGTATTTGTACATATATGTATAAATCTTGCTTGGGTTATTTTTTTACATACTCATAAGCGTAATTTGAACAAAATGTTTGTACGATCTAACTTAGTATTTCCTCTCCTTAAAAATATTTCTATGTAAATTCATATATAATTTCC